TTTACAGAGAGGAAGGGAAAGGGATCGAGAGTTAGAAACACTGATGAGAGAGAAACATCAATCCAGCTGCCTCCTGCACACCCCCCACTGGAGATATGCCCACAACCAAGGTATATGCCCTTGACCAGAATCGAACCTTGGACCTTTCAGTCCGCAGGCTGATGCTCTATTCACTGAGTCAAACCGGTTTCGGCTTAAACGCAGCTTTTCGCAAAGCTGTATAAATGGCATGCCTATACCTAGTCTTCCCTTTCCTTCTTTCCTGTTAAATAAACAGGTTGTTGCAATGACATTATACGTATATATCCTTTCTAAATTTTCAAAAAATGGAATGCCTTCCAACAGGCCAAAAAATGTCCCAAGAAAAATGTGTTATCACTTAACAATTTACTGTGGAATGGTTCTTGGTGAATACTAAATAGAGTTTTATTCTTCCATATGGTTTTAGAAACACAAGAGTTTTGATGCTTAAATATATTATTTGGAAGAAGAAACTTCTATTTATGATAAATGCTCAGTAAAGAAAAGAACAGAACTTGTTCCAAGTTGAAGAAATGAAACACTGATTTCAGGCTCTGTTAATACTTACAAGCACAGGTTTGGAAGACCTGCCATATGTAAAAATACGTAATTGTCTTTTGTATTTTTACATATGGAGAATAAACTGAATACTGAGAACAACAATAAAAAAGAAAAGCCCAGAATAAGAAGAGGAAAGGAAATAATAAAGATTCAAGCAGAAAAGACATAAAGACTAAAATAAAATATAAAAGATCAATGACTCCAAGAGCTGGTTCTTTGAAAAAATAAACAAATGTGATGAATCTTTAGCCAGACTACTAGTAATCAAGAAACAAAGAGAAGGAGGAATGGCAGTAATGGTGAGAGAATCGGTCTGAAGAAGTGGCATTTCCAGGCGCTTTGTGAGAGAGTCAACACAGAAGAGCACAAACAATGGCTGACAACAGTGTACTGACATTTGCTGGCAGGACAAGCTCGGCAGACTCTTCCACTTTTTATTCTAAAGTTAGGGAACTTCTAAGGAAAACTTAATGGGCCTACTTGGAATGTTGAAGAAATACCCCAGTTTGAAACAAGAGTATTGGTTCAAGAAGCTGGGAAACAAGAACGTATAAAAGCCTTAAAGACTATTAAAATAATAAATGTACCAGTTATAAAAAGAAAGTTGCCCCAAAAAATTAATTAAAAGTGTTGTTAATATGGAAATATAAGTGCCCTTTGTAAAGATGGAATTAATAAAAGAATATAAAGTTTGGATTCTCCAGAATTTGAAAATGTATTTATAGTCATGGACTTCCAGGACCCTGTCGTTACTAAGTTATACAAGACTGTGGAGTTATTGGACCACCAGTAGTATTAAACTATGTACAAAAAGGAGAGCCTTTGCTATTTTCATGTCATCCACTCTCCTGTACAAGCATGATGAATCTAGTATTATGTTTTACTGGATTCAGGAAGAAAAAATTAGTCAGATTGGTGACATTAGTCCATCACATGGATGGAGTTATTCGAAAAGACTTGAATTCCAAAGTAATTCACTTGGTGGCAAACTGTACACAAGGAGAAAAATTCAGATTGGGCCTGAGTACTCCAATTATGAAGCCAGAATGGATTTATAAAGCTTGGGAAAGGCAGAATGAATAGTATTTCTGCACATCAGCTGATGACTTTAATAAATGAATTTAAAGTTCCTCCATTTCAAGATTGCATTTTAAGTTTCCTGGAATTTTCAGATAAAGAGAAAACCAATGTGGAAGAAATGACTGAAATGCAAGGAGGTAGCTATTTACAGGTTGGAGATGAAAGGTACACTCATCTTATAGTTGAAGAGAATATAGTAAAAGAATTTGAACCTTCAAAGAAACTTTATGTTGTCAAGCAAGAGTGGTTCTGGGGAAGCATTCAAATGGATGCCCAAGCTGGAGAAACTATGTATTTATATGGAAAAGCTAATATGCCTGAGCTCAAGAAACCAGTGTCACTGCTTTCTCTAAGTATTCCAAACAGCAATCGCAAAAGATGTCATTTAAAAGAGACACTTGCTCAGCTTTCAAGAGAGACAGACCTGTCACCTTTCCTTCCCCAAACACCAAGTCTTCTAAAAATTCCACTCTGATTCCTTCAAAGCAACCAGCCAGGTGGCAAGTTGCAAAAGAGCTTGTGTAATTTTTTATTCCCCATATAGGGAAATTTTCTGTCATTATTTCTTCAAATAGATTTTCTAATCCTTGCTGCTCCTCTTGTCCTTCTGGCAGCCCTATTATACGTATATTACTTTGATTTGCATTGACCCAAAACTCCCTTAGGCTCTTCACCTGCTTTTTAATTTTTTTCTCTAGTTGCTGTTCAGATTTGGCTTGTTTCTGTACCTTATCTTCTAACTCACTAATTTAGTCCTCTGCTTCTTCTAGTTTACTGTTGAAACCTTACAAACCTTTGATTGTCTTTATCACTTTTGATTTCTTCCTGGTTTTTGCATAGATTATTGATTTTCTCATCCATCCGGTATATGAAATGTACAACCATTACTCTGAATTCTTTTTCTGCATGCTTCCTTTTCACTTTTTTCCTTTCTTGGCACTTACTCATTTTCTTTCCTCTGGAGATGTTTCATTGTCGCCCTATTCTAACTATCACAAAAAGGTTCAAATGTCGAGTTGTGGGGGCCTGGGCATGTGCAGTGGGAGCTTTGTAGCCCCCGAGTGTCACTGAAAAGCTTCGACACCAAGACGTGTAGCTGCTGTGGGTTGATGGGAACCACACTCGCACAGGATCAGAGTCATAAGCGCTTAGTGTGGCCTCGTGTGCGCACCTAGAATCAGGGACCCCACTTGCGCCTCAATGAGATGTTGTAGGACTGAGATTCCTGTATCCATATCAAATATCAGCAGAAGGTAAATCCTAGTTTCTAGAACTGATGGGATTTCTTAGGTCTGGGCCTTCTTACTGCCTCTCCAGCAAGGATGAACTAAGTCTCTAATCTGTCCCTTTGCCTCTTTTGTCTAGTTTAAAGAGCTGTCATTATAGAGCCCACCCAGAGTATCTTGGTTAATCTCTAACTAAAGGTCAACTGATTAGTGCACTTAATTCATTTCTTCCAAGTGATGGTCCCTTGATCTCTCCCTTTGAAATTCTAACACATTAACCAACTATCCTATGCTAAAGGCCTGATGCATAAAATTTGTGCAAGAGTGGGCCTCCCTTCCTCTAGCTGCCGGCACTGGCTTCCCTCTGGCACCCGGGACTCGGGCATCCTTCCAGCCGTTAGCTAGCACCTGGGAACCCGGCTTTCCTTGCAGCCCCAGCTTTGTCCAGAAGGTCATCTAGAAAGACCCCAGAAGGACTAATTAGCATATTACGCTTTTATAACTATAGACTAGAGGCCCGATGCACAAAATTCATGCAAGGGGTCGACCCTTGCAGCCACAGCAGCTTGCCTCAGCCTTCAGAGCCCCAGCTTTGTCTGGAATGTCATTCGGCTGTATGGTATAATTAGCATATGTCACCTTTTTTAAAAATATATTTTATTGATTTTTTTACAGAAAGGAAGGGAGAGGGATAGAGTTAGAAACATCAATAAGAGAAACATCCATCAGCTGCCTCTTGCACACTTCCTACTAGGGATGTGCCCACAACCAAGGTACATGCCCTTGACTGGAATTGAACCCGGGACCTTTCAGTCTGCAGGCCGATGCTCTATCCACTGAGACAAACAGGTTTCGGCAAACATAACATTTCTTAATGCATATCCACCCAAAGAGTGCCAAAATATATAAAACAATTACAGCGCTAAAGTGAGAAAAAGATAAAAAAATAACCATAGTTGGGGACCTTCATACTCCATTGATAGCTCTAGACAGATCATCCAAAGAGAAAAATCAATAAAGAAATATCGGCCTTAAAAGAACACTACACCAAATAGACATAACTGACATTTACAGAACCTTTAATCCCACAACTTCAAATTATACATTCTTCTCCAGTACACATGGAACACTGTCAAGGACAAACCATATGTTGGGTCACAAATCTAACATCAACAAATTCAAGAAGTCTGGAATTATACCAAGCATATTTTCCAACCATGATGCCTTGAAATTAGAAATCAACTGCAAAAAGGAAGTAAAGAAATCATATGATTTCACTCATCTGTGTGATATAAAACTGAAACTTGTGAACACTAAACACCTGTGTGGTGACTGCCAGAGGGAAAGGATGAGGGGAAAGAGGGTCCTAATTTAAGGCGACAGGAGAAGATTTGACTTTGAGTGATGGGGGCATGGTGCAATATACAGATCTTGTAACATAAAAACAAACCCATAAAATCTAAATGTTCATGTTGACCAATGGCACGCCAATAAAATAAAAATAAAAGATATGAACACCTTAGGGGTCATTATTTGGTCTAATATAAAAGGCATTTAGAAGAAACTTTTTAGATAAGGATGAAAATTAAAAATAATTTGCCAATATGAAACCCTGGCCTGTACGTGAAAATCATGGAATTGTCTCTGAAAATGTTAAACCAAATAACTTTAGATGTAAACACTTCAAAATTTTAATGTTTCTCTTGTGGAATATAACTGTCAATCCCTAATGTCCATTTATACGAACTAGAAATCATGAGTACCAATATCCAAATTAATGTCTATAATTTAATAAAACAGTCATCTCTCTTTATTGATGAAAAGACCCCTAAAAATAGACCTTTCATCCCTTTATAACAAAAGGCAAAATAAAAGTTATTTTAGTGGGAATGAATCCTAAAATGGTGTGTATCACAAACTGTTCACATCACTGATCATTTGCCTAAATCTAATACGCAATTATATTTTTCATTTTGAAGGTAGGTTTTTAATTTCTGGTCTCTATTTTTTTTAAATTCCTATCATGTTAAAAAATATATAAATATGAATTAATTATAATTAAGTATAAAACAAATCTTTTTAGAGTCATATATTTCAAAATAAAAAACAAACCTTTATACACTTCTCCTGAATATCATTTCTCTGAGTAGCAAATTTAAATAGCAGCTTTTCACCATCCATCCCAGATTCTTCACTTTTCAATTTGCTAAGGTGATAATCCGAAATCCAATCCATGAAGACTGTTAAAAGTTCAAAAACTTGTGCATTAAGTGGTACCTGTATGTAAAAAATTTAATCAAACATTTCAGTTCACAACTTCATAAAACTTCAAAGGCAAGCTTTAAATTTGGTTAAGTGATTATAGAATAATTTATCAAAACCACTTCACTAAAATATGGATTCAAAAAGCTCCAAATAAAAAAAATTCCAAATCAAATATATCCAATTAATATTAGAAACATATTAAATGCTGGCTGAGAAAAGAGGAGAAGCATCATAATAAGGGTACTGAAAGTGCTACAGCTCATTATCAAAACAAAGTTTCATAAAAATTCTTTGCCCAAGTTTGATAATATAGGAAAGTAAAATTAGTCTTAACTTGAAAGTATGAACTACTATGACTAAAAGACTTTAACAAACGAAAGATTTCAAAAGCTAAATAATTTCTACTATGAAAATTTATCTTTTCTTCTCTAAAATGTTTCTTTCATGTTTATATTATTAAGAAAAAAATTTTTAAGAAAATTTTTTCTTGGAAATCCTGTTCTCTGAGAGTCTACCCAAATAGGAGAAAAAAATAAATAAAAACAAAATGTCACAAAACAATTTATAAAGTCAATTAGGCTAATTTTAGTATTAGTTAATATCACCTTTAGTCAATTTAGTTCAATATCACACATTTACTTAAAGCAGGAAACTATGCAATACTTCATTAGATTTTTAAAAATCCAAAAAGAGCCGAAACCGGTTTGGCTCAATGGATAGAGCGTCGGCTTGGGGACTGAAGGGTCCCAGGTTCGATTCCGGTCAAGGGCATGTACCTTGGTTGCGGGCACATCTCCGGTAGGGGGTGTGCAGGAGGCAGCTGATCGATGATTCTCTCTCATCGATGTTTCTAACTCGCTATCTCTCTCCCTTCCTTTCTGTACAAAATCAATAAAATATATAAAAAATAAAAAATAAAAAATAAAAAATAAATAAATAAATAAAAATAAAAATCCAAAAAGAAAGAACTATAAAAGCAAATTAAATTTTAAAATTATTATAAAGGTTAACATTAAGCAGATAGAAATTCATGAAAAGTGAATCAGATTATTGAAAACAAAAAGCTACATTATCCTGTATAAAATAAACTTTTAACCTCCTCAATTTTCTTCAAATAAAATCTTTAGATGAGAATTTCAATTATCTTGAGTACCTAATATAAAATTTCCACTTTTCCCAATTCTTTTTTAAATTAAAAATTTGTTCCATTGCCAGCATACATGGAAAGCTGAATGCCAGGAAAAAGGAGGAGGGTCGTGGGAATTATGAAATATGACCATGTAGAACTATAAAAAAAAACTTTTGTACATATCTCATGCCTGGCAAAGGGGAGGGCCAGCAGAGCAGTAGCTGCCAAATGGGGCCAACCCTATGTACATAACACATCACAGGCTCCAGCCAATAGAATAGGCAGACCTTGGACTTGGACCACTCAGGAAATATGTGCTGATATGTGTTTCCACCTTCACTGGGTACCTGGACTCAAGGGACCCTGAGGGCCTGTGTCAACATGATGATATGGCTGTGGTTATTCCATTTGTACATGGCCTCAACTTTCTGAAGACAGAACTCCTTGGCATCCTCCTCCCACCCCCCCAACGATGATGTGCTTAAGGAACTGCTCTCACAAGGTAAGTAGTCTGAGATAAGCAGTTGCAGGTAGACCACAAGGTAATTCAAGGTTCTCTAGTCATTGAAGGAAGCCAACAGGTTGACTAATAAAATCTGCTAATCAACCTGCTCGACCAAGTTTATGAAAGTGTTGTGGAAATCCTCAACTGTGAACTCATGAAGCCCTGGGACACCAGGTCCTTTTTGCTCTTTGCAGATACAACCTTGAACCACAATAATTCTTTGCACCTACAAAGCTCAATAGGAGCAGTTGCAATCAGGCCTACTCTTGCAGTAGTTGAGTGTCGACCTATGAACCACATACTTTGTGTGGAGGTCTTCGATCTTCTGTTGACTGGTGTCATCCCCCACAAACACCTTGTTACAAGACTGAAAGCTCCAGCAGCTGAGACCAGAGAGCACTACACAGCAATCTTTTTGCTGAATTTGGTTCTGTAGAGCCATGATGACTTCATCATTGTCCAATTAACACCTGTAAAGTTCCTGCCCAACAGTATTCCTGCTTCCCTTGCTGAGCTACCTCTGCCACCCTTATTAAACTCCCAATTTACTTCATGAAAACAACTAGAGAATTTATCAAAATTATAAAAGCCCACAATGTGATATCACTATCCACCCACTGGAAAGGTCAAAATGAAAAAGACTAAAAACACCAAATGTTGACAAGGTTGTGGAGCAACCAGAACAATCATTTGGCTAGCAGAAGAATAAAATGATACAACCACTTTGTAAAACTGTTTGACAATTTCATTAAAATTAAATATACATCTGCTTTATGACCCAGAAATTCCAGTCTTGGTAATATTTCCAAATGTCTACAACAAAATGGATAAACAAACTGTATACAATAGTAAATTACTGAGCAATACAGAGGAACAAACTACTGATATATCCAACTATAGTAAACATAATAAGCCTTACACAAACAAGTAAATACTACCTAATTCCATTGACTGAAGTTCTTAAATAGGCAAAATTAATTTATGATAATAGAAATCAGATCAACTATTTCTTGCAAGGAATAACTAAAAAGGGACATGAGAGAACTTTTTAGAGTAATGGAAATATTCTATATCTAGTTGTAGGTTACATGAGTGTAGGCACTTATCAAAACTAGTCAAATTATACACTTAAGAATCTGTGTATTATTTTACTACTAGTATATGTAATTTATACCCCAAAATAAATAAGTAAAATTCTTAGAGAAAAAATAATAAATGGAACCCATCAAAGGGATGGATTGCAGTTTTGATAGAAAAGTAACAATAAAAGCTTATGGAATCTCAAAACACAATGAATAATAAAGCTGTCACTAAGTTTAAATTCCTGTGGTCTATCAGTGTTATTGTGCCTGAAACACTGGTGAAACATTGTTTTCCTTTTGCAAATAAAAGTGTATTTCAGCCCAGCCAGTGTGGCTTAGTGGTTGAGTGTTGACATATGAACCAGGAGGTCACATTTCAGTTCCTGGTCAGTGTATAAGACCAGGTTGTCAGCTTGATCTTCAGTCTGGGGCATGCAAGAGGCAGCCAATCAATGATTCACTCTTATCATTGATGTTTCTATCTCTCTCCTCTCCTTTCCCCTTTTAAATCAATAAATATATATTATTTTTAAAAAGCATTTATTTGAAATATTATAAAGATACTAGAGGCCCAGCGCATGAAATTGTGCACAGGTAGAGTCCCCAGGCCTAGCCTGCAATCAGGACCATCTTCCACCAGCTGGCCAGTTCCCATTCCCGCCCCACCTCCACCCTCCTGGTGAACAGGGGTTCACCATGCTGTAATCAGAGCCTTTGGGCCAGGGGGAGGGACCAAGAGGTCGGCAGTTCCACCCATCGCCAGTCCTGCCCCACCATCACCCACCGGGTTCCCATGCAGCAACTGGAGCCTGCAGCCAAAGGGTGGTCAATTACGTTGCTATGGTAGCTTGGTTTCTATTATATAGGATTCCTTTCATACCAAAAACAATGTTTGCTAAACGAAATAAAAAGACTAAAGAACAAAGAAAATTCTTGACTTTCCACTGGAGAAAAATTCAATAATATCATACCTTATATGTTTTTGAAGCTGGTACTTTTTCTTGTCTTAAACTTTTCATTTCATGAACAGCATAGGAATTTCCTTTCAGTCTCTGTATTGTCATAAATTCATACTTCCTCTGCAATAGCACATATCCATGAATTAAAGAACAATTATGTTAAAAGTGAGAAAATCCAAAGGCAATCATTATAAAATTCATTTATGCCAAAAAGAACAAGCAACTTACCTGTAAATTATCTAAACGAGCTTGAACTCTTTTAGCCTGAATCTCCATCTTCTTGTTTTCTTCACTTACTTCATTTAACTAAAATATAAAAATGTTAGATACTTCAAACATACTTAAACTGATTTCATACTAAAGATTTCCCAGATAATCTATATAATCTCATCCACATAACCAAGCAATGAAACAAAACAAAGGCAGCATTCATAATTAAAGATCATAGCTAACATCACCATTTGTCCCCAAAATAATAATACATATCTAAGACTGTATCATTCTATGAAAAATTTGCAAGTCTCCCGACATCTTAAAATTCTTTTAATTGAACTTTTTATGGAACTATAATATATGTACAGAAAAGTGTGCAAATCATTAAATATGTAGTGAATTATTGGGATCATATTAAATATATTAATTTGGGGAAAACTAATAACTATATAATATTGAATCTTTCCATTTATGAACATAACACAGCCTTCAATTTATTTAGGTCTTCTGTAGTTTAATAATGTTTTGACTTTTCAGTATATATGTTTTACACATCTTTCTTTAGATTTATTTCTGGATAGCTAATGTTTTTCTATGCTATTACCTATTTGATCGTTAGAATATAGAAATACACTTAGTTTTGTATAATGAACATAGTTATATCCAAAGATTCTCCTAAATATGCATAATTCTAATAACTCATCTGTACATTCATTTGGATACCTAGGTACATAGGTAAATAATATCATCTGTGCATAATTCTGATTTCTTCTTTTCCAATCCTTACTTTCCACTTTTGCCTTATTTTATTGACTGGGGCTTTCAGTATAATGATCAATAGAAAAAGTAACAAATAGTGAGCACATTTATTTTGTTATGATTACAGATGGAAAATATTTCAATAATTTGCATTAAGTATAAATTTAATGTTGGATTTTTTTAGATATTCTATTAGAACTATGAAGTTCTATTATTAGTAATTATATCAATTTGTGCTGAATTTTATCATAGAAATTATGGTTTTGCTCCTTTTATGAAATAATGCATTAATTTTCAAATGATAAACTAACCTTGTTTTCCTGAACTAAATCCACTTGGCTGTATTATCCTTTTTATGGATCACTAAATTCAATTTGCTGATATTTTAAAATTTTGCACCTATATTCCTAAAACTGGTTTCCATTTTCCTTTGTTTATAATGTTATCAACAGGGTTGAGTTTCAAGGTTATGCTGGCCTTATACAACAAGAAGGGGAATTTTTACCTCTTTTTCTATCTATGTTTAAGGTACATGATACTTCATCCTTAAAAGTTAGCCATGAGTGCCGAACCCGATTTGGCTCAGTGGTAGAGCGTCGGTCTGCAGACTGAAAGGTCCCAGGTTCGATTCCAGTCAAGGGCATGTACCTTGGCTGCGGGCACATCCCCTGTTGCGGGTGTGCAAGAGGCAACTGATTGATGTTTCTCTCTCATCGACGTTTCTAGCTCTCTATCTCTCTCCCTTCCTCTCTGTAAAAAAATCAATAAAATATATTAAAAAAAAAAAAAAAGTTAGCCATGAGTCCTACTGCTCCTACTTTGAAGGTAAAGTATCTTATTTTCCTCTGATCACTTTTAAGATTTTATCTTTACCCAAAGTTTTCAAGTCGTAAAAATAATGTGTCTATGTATGTATGGTTTTCCTTAAATTTATTCTGCTTAGGGTTAACATAATTTCTTAAGTCTGTGGATTGGCAACTTCCAGCAGTTTTGGGAGTTTGTGACCATTATCCCTTCACATATTTTGCTTTTCCCCATTATCTCTTTTTAGAATCCCATGTTAAACTTTTAAACTAGATTCCATGTCTATTTTATGAATTTTCTATTCTTCCTCCATTCAATGTTTTCATTTCAAGACTTTTTATGAAACTATCTTCTAGTTCACTAACCTGCCTTCAGTTGTGTTTCATATGCTGTTAAACCCATTTACTGGTGATTTAAAATTCAATTAACACATTTTTCAGTTTTAGATTTTCAATTTAATTCCCTTTTATAGATCCTAATTCTCTAATGAAGTTCTCAATTCCTTCTACTTTATAGACCATATTAATCATTATTTTTAAGTCTTTACCTATTAACTCTAATATCTGGATCACCTGTAGGTATGTTCATATTGTTTGGAGTGTTTCTCTTCATATTTAGTCATATGATTCTGTCATTTTAACTGATTTTAGAAAAAAAAAGAGAGGGAGGGAGGAAAGGAGAGAAGGAAGTAGGAAGGGAAAGAAAAGCACTGATTTGTTTTTCCACTTACTTATCGGTTGATTCTTATGTGTATTCTGAGGGGAGATAAAACCCACAACCATAGTGTATCAGGACAACACTACCAGACCAGAAACTATGATTCTGTCTGTTAATGTACTTATGAATTCTGTATAAAATGACAGAAAATTACAATTTTTAAACATATGATATCTTCTTTAATGAGGGCTGATCCTTTTTTCTGCTAGGTCTTTAAAATGGGATTGATCATCTTAATCTGATCAGGAACTGAGATGAGTCAAGAAGAGGTTTCAGTTTGAAGAGGGTTCTATCTACCTCTAATTCACTTCCTCCTAGGGTACAACCCTGCTGCTTTCAACTGTGACCCTGGGATGTTCACTGGGATTCAATCCCCAATGAGTCCTGAATATTAATCTTTGTCTCTTCAGCTGGGTAAGACTTAATGGGAAATTTTTTTTTATTATCATTATTATTATTATTATTATTATTACTATTAGAGGCCCAGTGCATGAAATTCGTGCATGGGTAGGGTTCCTAGGCCTCGCCCGCGATCAGGGACCATCTGTGGGGTGACTGTCAGGGTGATTGTGGGGGCCCCCATGGGCACCCATCTTGGCGCCACTCACTCTCTGGCTCCACCGCCTGATCGCCCTATTACCGCCACTGGTTGGTGACCAGTGGGGCAATTGGGGTGGTTCCCACTGGCACCTACCTTGGTTGGGCTGGAGCAGCTCCCGCATTGAGCATCTTCCCCCTAGTGGTCAGTGCATGTCATAGCAACCAGTCATTCTATTGTTTGTTTGCCAATTTGCATATTAGGCTTTTATTATATGGGATCATTACTACTACTACTACTAAAGCAAATTTACTTATATCCAATGCTATCATGAAATGCTACGTAAGTGCGTCACAGAAACAACTGACTTTTATATATACTAGAGGCCTTCCTTCCCATTGGCGTCCAGCACCAGATTTCCTCTGGCACCTGGGACCAAGGCCTTCGCTCTGGCCAGAGTCTGCCATCTTCGTCTTTGCTACAGACTCTGGAGTCTACAGTCTTCCTCTTTGCTGCAGCTGGAGTGCCAGTCCTATAGATCCCTTCATCCCCACCCTCCTTCTCATACCAAGTATCTTGCCCTGCTCAGTCACGCTGCACCTGAAACAGCTGGGCAGCAGCCATCTTTATCCTTCTAATTTGAATATTCCCTCCTGATTGGCTGGTGAGCATAGTGGAATGATGGCCAATATGCATGTTTCTCTTTTATTAATGTAGATATTTTTTCGGGAGTGGGGTTTCCAGTCTATTATTTTTAATTTTTTTCTTTATTATTTAAAGTATTACAAATAATAGTACATATCTCTCCTTTTTTCCCCCCGCTAACTTTTATATTTAGCAATTTTTCAAAGCATGTATCACCCATCATGCCAGAAGTTGGCAAATCATTGCATGTGGACCAAATCTGACCACTGCCTGTTTTAATTAGGACATATTCACGCTAATTCACTTGCTTACTGTCTATAACTACTTTTACAGAGTTGAGGTATTATGATAGAGATCATATGGCCCACAAAGTACAAAATTTTTACTATGTGGTCTTTTAATAGAAAATATTTGCTAACCCATATTTATACTTAAGGAAACCAACAAAAAAAAGCATTCTGGCCAGGTAAATATGACTCAATGGTTGAGTGTCAACCCATGCACCAAGAGGTCACCAGTTCGATTCCCACTCAGGACACATGCCCGAGTTGCAGGCTCAAACCCTAGCAGGGGGCAGCCAATCGATGTTGATGTATCTTTCTCATCTATATTTCTCTCTCTTTCCCTCTCCCTTCTTCTCTATCTAAAACCAATAAAAATATATATATTTTTAAGTATTCTGCCACTTCATACAAAAAGTTTCTCCTGACTTCAATGCATCAGTTTGGACACATTGCCATAAATCCAATTACCAATAGATTCAATCACTTACTGATAGCCACTCAAATCACCACACACTCATGTAAGCACATGTAAAATTAGTAAGGACTATTTTTTATATAATAAAAGTCTAAGCGGCCATTACAGCAGAATGACCGAACGACCAGTCACTCTGATGTGCACTGACCAACAGGAAGCAGACGCTCAACACAGGAGCTGCTCCCTGGTAGTCAGTGCCCTCCAACAGGGGGAGCCCCGAAGCCAGGCTCATGGCCGGCAAGCACAGCAGCAGAGGTAGGAGCTCCTCCCGCCTCCATGGTAGCACTAAGGAGCAGTGAGCTGAGCTGTAAGGAGCAGCGAGCAGACAGCAGTAAGGAGCACAAGGTCCTGGACCGCAAGAGGGCACAGGCTGGGCTGAGGGCCTCCCCCAACAGTGCACAAATTTCATGCACCAGGCCTCTAGACCGATCTAATAAAGAGGGAATATGCTAATTGACCCTCATGCCAACACAAAGACGGTAGTGCCCACAGCCAATAAGGAGGGAATATGCTAATTGACTTCCCTGCCCTCAAAGATGGTGTCGCCCACAGCCACAAGAAGGTAGCACCTAGTCCCCTCAGCCCCGTAGAGCAGCAGGTGCGCAGCAAGGCCAGGCCCAACCCCAGGTGGACCCGGCTGCTCCATGCACCTGCCTCAGGAGTCCCCCCCAAGTTCCCTCAGCCCCCCAGCCACCCAGGGCAGGACCAAGGCACAGGCAAGTCTCAGGTGGCAGCTGCCCAGCCACCAAGGGCTGGCCTGAGGCACAGGAAAGTCTCGATGGCAAGTCTTGTCCTGCTGGCAGTGGCAGCAGCAGAGGTGTGATGGAGCATTGCCTTCCTCTGATCGCCAGGTTACCTCCCACCCCTACGGGCTCTCAGACTGTGAGAGGGGGCAGGTTGGACTGAGGGTTCCCCCTCCAGTGCATAAATTTTCATGCACCGTGCCTCTAGAATAAAAAAAAAAAAAAAAAAACCTAGAGATAGGGATGGGCAACGATGTACCTATGCTAGCAAAAAAAGAAATCCTTGTCTTTTTTGAGTGCTAGGATGAGATTGTGATGGAAAAAAGTAATCTCTCTAGGGATACAGCAAACTCCCAGACAACATTAAGTCAAGGTCATATACTAATTGTGGGAGACCACAAATGAACTCAGGGAAGCCAAAGAACTAAATGAAGTGAAAAATAAGGTATCTATTTATCACTGTAAAGTAGAAATATAACAAGCAGTTCAAGACTCATTGGGGGATATCAAGAATAAAAACAAAATTCTGACCAGATGGATTAGTTGGTTGGACCATCGTCCCATGAATCAAAAGGTTGTGGACTCAATTCCTGGTCAGGACACATACCTAGATTACAGGAGCATACAGGAGCAACTGACAGATATTTTTCTCTCTCTCTTAAGTGAATAAAAATATATCCTCAGGGGAGGATTAAAAAAAAATAATAAGAATACAAACAGAAAATACACAGCCAACTAAGGAATCCCAGGAGGCATATTAACTCTAAGATTCTGAGCTTAGTTAAATTTTATAATCTATAAATTTTCCCAGCCCAGTGCTTTAATTGTTAAAGTAACTGAATTTATTCCTTTCTGCTCATCCATTTCTCCTTCCCACAAATACCTTCTCCTGCCCATCTTCAACATATACCTCCACTTTCACATTTCCAAAAAAAAATTGGCAAAGGGAAGTTGAAAAAAGAAACCCAGTAAAATGTGCAAAACTATTATTTATGCAACTTTACTATAATCGAGTACTATTTTAAATTACACCACTTATATAAATATTATAATGCAATATGATACCAGCCTATACTCACAAGAGTATGAACAACGTAGACTACCTTCTAGTATGGTGCCTAGTATGCGCCCAGCCTGTTTTGTCACTGGTGACTGATATGGTAATTAACGTGTTAATAGATACCCACAAAATAAATGAATGTTAAGTAAACACTTAAAAGTAGTTAAAAGTCCCCAGGTTATTGGGGTTTTTACTTTTGCTTGTTTTTATTTATTTTTTTTTAAATATATTTTATTGGTTTTGTACAGAGAGGAAGGGAGAGAGATACAGAGTTAGAAACATTGATGAGAGAGAGTCATCGATCAGCTGCCTCTTGCACACCCCCTACTGGGGATATGCCCGCAACCAAGGTACATGCCCTTGACCAGAATCGAACCCGGGACCTTTCAGTCCCCAAGCCGACGCTCTATTTACTGAGCCAAACCGGTTTCGGCTACTTTTGCTTGTTTTTAAATATAGTACTTGCTTTTATATTTTTAAAAATGTCAACTTGCCAAACTTCTCAGCTGGTTGCCAGAACAGATGATGAGAAAGCAAAAGCTTAAGAATATTTTATATTGGAAGTATCTATATATATAAAAAGCCAGAAACCATAACAATATAATGACCATAAAAAGCCAGAAGTCATAACAATCTAATGACCATAACGACCAGTCACTAAGACACCCACTGCTTGGGGGATGGAGCGGCCAGCCAACGTTCCACAGCCCATCCCCAGGGCCCACCCCATCCCTTGCCCCTCCCTACCCCAACAGGGGGTGGGACCAGCCAGCCAACCTCCTGCAGCCCCTCCCCCTGGCCAGCCCCACTCCAGATGGACCAGTCTATTGGCTGCATCCCCTGCCCCAAGCCAGCTCCACGACTGATTATACCAATTGGTTTTTATCCCAGCTCCAATCAGTGGCAGGGCCAGCTGGCCCACTACCCACAGACCCTCCCCATGGCCAGCCCCAACTCCAATCAGCACCCTGCCCCAATCGGGGGGCAGAGCCTCCCTGTTCCCTCCCCACCACCAATCGCCCTCGGACCTTCCCCCCAGCTGGCCCAACCCTGATCAGCCCCAATCAGGGCAGGCCCACCAGCCAACCTCCTGCTATCTCCTCTTCTCAAAAGGACCAGCCCCAATCCGCCAACTAGGGCCAGCTGAACCCCACCCATACATGAATTTGTGCACTTGGCCTCTAGTCCTATCTAATAAAGAGGGAATATGTTAATTGACTATAACTCCATCACAAAGATGGCTGCACCCACAGCTGAAGCCAAGTTTCCATAAGGTGCCTTAACGAGCAATCAGTAGAGCAATCAGTAGGGGCCTGAGGCTACACCCTCCCCCGCCCCCATGGGACTAGACAGGAGACTCAGACCACATGCCCCACCCATCAAGTCTTGACAGGGAACCTCAGGCCACCCCAACCCCTCGGTCTTAGAGTCAGGCTGGGGGACCTCAGGCCATGCCTGGGGACCTGAGGCCATGCCCCTCACCAGATGGGGCTTGACGGGGGACCTCAGGCCGTGCTTCCCCCCTCCTCCCCTGCCCCAGCACTAGGCCAGTGGACCTGAGGCTGAGAACCCCTGCCTGGTGGGAATAGAGTTCTTCAGGCCGTGCTCCCCACCCAGTGGGGCTTGACTGGAGACCTGAGGCTGCACCCCCCTGCTGCTGGAGTTTGACAGGGGACCTTAGGCCACGCCTCCCACCCAGAAGGGCTTGATGGGGACCTCAGGCCTTGCCCCCGACCTGGCAGGTGGGAGACCTCAAGGCACGCCCCCCCATCCTGGTGCCACACAGGGGAACTGAGGCTACGCCCTCGGCCCGGCAGGGCTTGAAAAGGGTGGGACTGGCCAGGTCTGGATCTAGCCCAATAGGGGGGGGGGGAGGCCAAGGCCGGGTCTAGGTCTCATGTGATTTTGAGGGACATGTGGGTGGGCGGGAACTTGACTCTGGGTCCCCCTTTGGATGTGCACGAATTTCGTGCACGGGGCTACTAGTTTTCTAATAAAGCCATAAGCAAAGTTAATCAAACATTTCTCTAGCCAGAATGTCTTATAATCTAATATATATTAAAATGGGTCTTACCTGCTTTTTTAAATTATCATTCAATTCTTTCAAGGCATCAAAAGAAGACCTTAGCCTCTTGTTTTCTTTGTTTTTATCCTTGAGGATTTCAGTTAAGTGTGTAACTTCTGCATCATGTTGCTAGGGGGAAAAAAAAACTTATTTAAAAATTTGATAAGGATTCCTTGTCACTGTAACAGTACTTGGAAGCTGGGTCCGCTAATTGGAATATACACTCCTCCTTACTGTAGAGCAATGTTTCACCTGGATCCAGTTACGAAGTTTATTTGGAAAGTTGAAGGCCTTAGTTCTACTGGATTTGCAAGGAGCCCTCTGTGGCCTTTTGCTTTGAGTGCTGTTTTCCTTTTATCAGAGGGTAACACTGTATAAATTACTATTTTTCCCACAGCATATTCACTTGGATTGTATTATTAATAAAAGAAAAAGAAGCCACATATTGGGCAGAAGTCACCATTCAAGGCTAAGGTAAGCTTCCTGTATACTTCTAAACTGCCTTAATAGAAGTATTCAAATCTCCTGAATAGTGAACTGGAAAGTCTACAGGAGAAAAGAGGTTCCAGTTTTCATTAGAAACTTTTATAATTAAGGGAATCTTTAAAAACTGATCTCATGAATTTGGGGCTCATGTGGCTTTAGTTATTTTTTGCTTTCCTTAATTAATGAGACTCTTATTAATGGTATAACTAACATGCTCTTTTGTCCCCAACTGCCCTCCTCTCCTGGCCTGATTGCCCCTAACCACCTCTGCCTTGGTCCCGCCACCATGGCTTTGTCCAGAAGGACATTCGGAAGGTCTCCCAGTCTAATTAGCATATTATCCTTTTATTAGTATAGATATATTTATTTTAGAGAGAAAGAGAGATAGAAACATCAATGACAGAGAATCATTGATGGGCATGTAGCAGGCCACTGGGGATCAAGCCCGGAAGCTGGACATGTGCCCTGCCTGGGAATGGAACCATGACTTCCTGGCTGAAAGGTCAATGCTCAACCACTGAGCCATGCCAGCCAGGCAAGCATCTTTTCATATATATATTGGCCATCTGCATGATGAAGTGTGAATTCAGGTCCTCTGCCTATTTTTTAAGTGAAGTTTTTTTTTTTTTTGCATGTGTGATGAGCTATATAAGTACTTTAAAAATTTTACATATTAGCCCATTATCGGATATCAATAGTGAATATCTTTTCCTCTTTACTAGGTTGTCTTTTTGTTTTATTGATGGTTTTCTTTGTGTGCAAAAACTTTTTAGTTCGATGTAGTCCCTTTGTTTGTTTTTTCTTTTGTTTCCCTTGCACAAGGAGATATATCAGAAAAAATATGCCTGAAAGAAATGTCAGAGATTTTACTGCCTATGTGTGCTTTTATTCTAGGAGTTTTATGATTTCGAGTCTTAAATTATTTTTTAAAATGTATTTTTATTGATTTTAGAGAGGGAGAGAGATATAAACATCAATGATGAGAGACAATCAGTGATTGGCTGCCTCTTGCATGCCTCCCACAATGGGGATCAAGCCCATAACCTAGGCATGTGCCTTTGACCAGAATTGAACCCAGACCCCCTCAGTTTGCAGGCTGATACATTTCTCTAATTATTGGTACATTGAGCATCTTTATTTTTATTAATATATACATATATATATAGTATATAATAAAGAGGTAATATGCATATTGACCCTCACACCCTCACATCACAAGATGGCCACCCCCACATTGTCACAAGATGGCTGGAAGGGGAGGGCAGTTGGGGGTGATTGGGCCAGCAAGGAAGGGAAGTGGAGGGCGACTGGGCTGGCAAGGAAGCAGTTAGATATCAATCATGCTGGCAGGGGAGTAGTTAGGCATCAATCAGGCTGGCAGGGGAGCGATTAGAGGGTGATCAGGCTGGCAGGCAGAAGTGGTTAAGGGCAATCAGCCAGGCAGGCAGGTGAGTTGTTAGGAGCCAGCAGTCCCAGATTTTGAGAGGGGCCCAGAGCAGCTGGGTCGGGTGCGGCCAGGCCCGGAGCAGCAGCAGCCAAGCCCGAAGCAACCAGGTAGGGAGCGGCAATGGCCAGACCCGGAGCAGCTAATAGTGGAACGGACCAGAGCAACAGAGGCCAGGCCCAGAGCAGCCAGGCCCGGAACAGCTCGCTCCTCACCTGCCTCCGCCCCAAGGCTGCCTCACAGACATGGCTGGAAACTTTGGGGGGAACTTGAGAGTCTCCTGAATCAAATGAGGAAGGCTTAGATCTGGATGTGTTAAATCAGTATTGCGCTGGGGTGTTGATCTGTGAGTGCCTTGTGTGGGGCCTGGATGAGGTCGGTTGATCTATTTGGAAATGTCTTTTGTGTGAAGTGTATCCTTGGGCGTGTGGAGGTATTATTGATTTGAGAAAATGCTAAGTAACTGATTTACTATCTGAAAAATTTAAAGTTCTGAAAGTTTAAGGTCTCTTGCCAAAAAGAGGTTTTAAAGCTAACACCTTAATTTTAAAGGGAATGACAAGCCCTTCCCACCCAGAACAGGTAATCCAATTCCAACCAGCAGCTATGTTTAAACAATGTGTCCATTTATGGGAGGGGAGTGGACTGACTTTTCTAGGGGAAAGGGAGGGAGGAAGAGACTGAATATAAACTGTGCACCTATGGATGAGGACAACGGGGGGTGGGGAGGGAGCGGAGGGTGGGGTGGGATCCTGGTGGAGGGGGGAAGAAATAAGGAATCTTTGTAATAATATGAACAATAAAGATTGATTAAAAAAAATTATGGCACATATTTACAATGGAATACTACTCACCATAAAAAATAGAATGAAATCTTACCATTTGTGACAGCATGGATGGACATTGAGAACATTATGCTAAATGAAATATCAGTCAATGAAAGACAAATAACATAATTTTACTTATAAGAAGAATCTAATGAACAATATAAATTAACAAACAAAAGAGACAGATTCATAGATATAGAGAACAAACTGATTAGAGCAGAATTGAGGTACTGGGTGAATAATGTGAAGGGTTTAGAAGTACAAATTTGTAGATACTAAATAGTCACTGGGATGTAAAGTACAGCACAAGTAATACAGTCAATAATATTATAATAACTATAAATGGTGCCAGTTGGGTACTATAAATATTGGGTGGAACATTTTGTAAAGTATATGATTATCTAATCACTATGCTATGCACCTAAAACTAGTTCAAAATAAAATGGCTCAGAGATAGGGTTAGAGTCTGTCAAGGGTATATACTTTGGTTGCAGGCTTCTCTCCAGCCCAGGCCCTGGTCAGGGTGCGAACAAGAGGCAACCAATTGATGCATTTCTCTCATATCGATGTTTCTCTTTCCCTCTATATTCCACTCTCATTAAAATCAATTTAAAAATATCCCCAAAGTGGGCTAAAAGCAGCCCGCACTACAGCGAAGACCTCTCCCGAGCTACAGGCTCAGAGGAAAAACTACTCCACCTTGCAAGAAAAAGTGGATCTTATCTGAGGCCTGAAAAACCCACAACAGTGGAGAGCACCAAACAGCTGTGACGCCCCAATCAGCGCAAACACGTGAATTCAAGGGAGTTCTTCAATCACCAATGGAAAGCACAGAGTTTGCCAGGAATAATGTGAGGGACCTGGGTCCCAGCTACAGCACCGGCATCTCTGCAGCCAGAGGGGCGCCGAAAGAGGCAGCGGCTGCAAAGAGAATCGCACGCGCTGGAAAGCCCACTGTTGGGTCTGGTGTGATCCTTCCAAAAATCAGGACTTTTTTAAAACACCGCGGGACGCAGGACAAATTGTTAAAAATCAGAAAGCAGAAAGTCTGGTCACCTTAGCACAAACCCATCCTGCGCACACCTGGGCCTGCTCCCCTTCATCCCCTTGCCTCTGAGTACTATGAAAAGACTACCCAGTTTGGCATATTCTGGGAGACTGCAGGGGGAAATTGCCTTTCTGTAAACGGGATCAGAGCGGGGAGAGACCATCTGGGAGCTAGCACCAAGGCAGCCCACCTCCACAAAGTGGTATTGAGAGCCATAGAGAAAGAAGGCAAAAGGAGCCAAAAAGACCAGGGAAGGCAATCCAGAAACACTGCCACCTAGGGGCTGAATTACAAACTGACTTCTTTTACTATTACTTTTAATTAATCAAAAATAAAGGGACACAATTAACTAAGAAAAAGCCTACTTAAAAATAAGGACTAGCTTACAAAACTGAGATGTAGTGGGATGGAGGGAACTGCAATACTGTCTGGTCTGAGAAACAGGCGTGCCAAATAGAGGAAGTGAATGACCTTCACTAATGCACATTTTTTATGCTAATTTTTCTATTTTTTATTTTATTCTCATTTTTTACATCTTTTACTTAAGAAACGAATTTTTTCTTTTATCCTCACTTGATTTTACCTTTTTAATTATTACATTTTTTAGTTTCAATCATCATTATTACTACTGCTATTTTGCATTTTTTTGTTTTTTTTCTTTTCTTTTCTTTTAAGTGCCATTTTATTTTCTCTTTATTTTACATTGGGAATAGTGTTCTTTATTCTATTTTCATTTTTCCTATCTCAACTCAACCTTTACGCCATCACTCTTTTCCTAACTTTTCCCCGTTTGGTGTCCTGTTTATCTTAACCCTCTCCTGTTTTAGATTTTCTGTATACCCCCTGCTAAAATTTTCTACTTTAGTCTTTCTGTATACCCCCTGCTAAAATTTTCTCCCTACTTATAAACTTAATTTCCAATCCCCTGTTCCAAGTGCATACATACCACTCTCTTCACTATCTTAACTATTAAAAAAAAAAAGTTTTCTTCTCTGTCCCTTTGTTGTTGTTTGCATGAATTTTGATTATATTTAATTTTTATGCTTTTTAGTGAGATTGATATGCTTATTCTTTCGTTGTTATGGTTGCTTGGTATTTTTTATTTTCTTTGTCACTTCTGTTTCTCCTTGCCTTGCTTGATATTAGTGGGTATTGTAGTTTGTATTAATCTCCAGTATTGTTGCAGGCATTTCCTTGGATTAGTGCTTGTTCTATTGGAATTTTCTCCACATATATATAGTTTGTTACCATTTTCTCTCTTAGTCTCTTTCTTGTCTCTCTCTTTTTTTTTCCTTTTCCTAATTTCATTTTGACACTACTTTTT